CCAGGAGAAGTCCTAAATCAGTGAAGAGAGATTTCAGGTCCTAGGGGAAACTGATTAAGGGGTCGGGAGCACAAATTGTGTTCTCCTCCATCCCTTCAGTTGCAGGGATGGATGAAGAAGCATACCAGAGAACTCAACAGATGAACTTGTGGCACCAAGACTGGTGTTACCATCAGGGCTTTGGATTTTTCAACTATGGGTTAGTATACAGGATGCCAGACATTCTGGCATAAGATGAGATGCACCTGTCCCAGAGGGGGAAGAGGATCTTGGGGCAGGAGTTAGCTGGGCCGATTGACAAAGCTTTAAAATAGATTTGAAGGGGGCAAAACATCACCTGTCTGAAGTGCTGGTATACCAATGCACACAGCATGGGTAACAAACAGAAGGAGCTTGAAGCCATGATGAAACAGGAAAATTATGATGTAGTGTCTATTACAGAAACATGGTGGGATGTCTGCCATGACTGGAGTGTGCCAGTTGATGGCTACAAGATCTTTAGGAGGAATAGACAAGGAAGGAGAGGCAGTGGGGTGGTGCTGTATGTTAGGGACTGTTATGGTTGCTTTGAATACGAGTGTAGTGAAGACAGGGTGGAGTGTCTCTGTGTTAGAATCAGGGGGAAGGCCAACAGGGCAGATGTTGTAATAGGAGTCTACTATAGGCCACCCACCCAGGACAGAGAGGTGGATGAAATATTCTATAGGCATTTAGGTGAAATGTCACAATCGCTTGCCCTTGTTCTTGTGGGAGACTTTAACTTCCCAGACATCTGCTGGAAATACAACACAGCAGAGCGGGATCAGTCCTGGAGATTCCTGGAATGTGTGGGAGAGAACTTCCTGACACGGCTGGTGAGTGAACCGACCAGAGAAGGTGCCCTACTGGATCTCCTCTTTGTGAACAGAGAAGGACTGGTGGATGAGGTGGTGGTTGGAGGATGACTAGGGCACAGCGATCATGAAATAGTAGAGTTCTCTGTTCTTAGAGAGGCCAGGAGAGGGCTAAGCAGAACTGACATCCTGGACTTCCAAAGAGCTGACTTTGAATTGTTTAGGCATGTACTTGAAAGGATCCCTTGGGAGATGGTCCTGAAGGGTACAGGGGTACAGAAAGGCTGGGCACTCTTTAAGAAGGAAGTGTTAATGGCACAGGAACAGGCTGTCCCCAGGTGCTGTAAGAGAAGCTGGTGACAGACAAGACCACCCTAGCTGAACAGGGAGCTTTGGCTGCAACTCAGGGAGAAAAGGAAAGTTTACAGCCTTTGGAGGAAGGGGCTAGCCACTCACAGTGATTATAAAGAGGCTGTGAGACTATGCAGGGTGGAAATCAGGAGGTCTAAAGCCCAGCTGGAAATTAATTTGGCTTCAGCAATCAAGGACAACAAGAAATGTTTCTATAAGTATGGCAGTAGCAAAAGAAAGACCAGAGAGAGCCTCCATCCCCTGCTAGACATAGGAGGAAACATGGTAACAAGTGATGAGGAGAAGGCTGAGGTGCTTAATGCCTTCTTTGCCTCAGTCTTTAATAACAAGGCTATTTGTACTGAGGGAATCCAGCCTCCTCAGCCAGAAGACAGAGACTGGGAGAACGACCCCCCTGCATTCCAGGAGGAGACAATCTGTGATCTGCTGCATCACACAGACACACACAAGTCTATGGGAGCGGATGGGATACACCCGAGGGTGCTGAAGGAGCTGGCTGGGGTGCTCACCAAGCTCCTTTCCATCATTTACCAGCAGTCCTGGCTGACCAGAGAGGTCCCAACTGATTGGAAATTGGCCAATGTGATGCCCTTATATAAGAAGGGTTGGAAGGATGATCTGGGAAATTACAGGCCTGTCAGCTTGACTTCGGTGCTCGGGAAGCTGATGGAGCAGCTCATCCTGAGTGCCATCACACAACACCTGCGGGACAACCAGATGCTCAGGCCCAGTCAGCATGGTTTTATGAAAGGCAGGTCCTGCTTGACAAACCTGCTCTCCTTCTATGACAGGGCGACCTGCTTATTGGATGAGGGAAAGGCTGTGGGTGTTGTTTACCTTGACTTTAGCAAGGCCTTTGACACCGTTTCCCACATCATTCTCCTGGCGAAACTGGCTGCTCGTGGCTTGGATGGGCACACACTTCACTGGGTAAAAAACTGTCTGGATGGCCGGGCCCAGAGTTGTGGTGAACGGAGCTAAATCCAGTTGGTGGCCGGTCATGAGTGGTGTCCCCCAGGGCTCGGGTTTGGGGCCACTCCTGTTTAACATCTTTATTGATGATCTAAAAGAGGGGATCGAGTGCACCCTCAGTCAGTTTGCAGATGACACCCAGTTGGGTGGGAGTGTTGATCTGCTCGAGGGCAGGGAGGCTCTGCAGAGAGACCTGGACAGGCTGGAGCCATGGGCTGAGCCCAACTGGAGGAGTTTCCATAAGGCCAAATGCCGGGGGCTGCCCTTGGGCCACAACAACCCCCAGCAGCGCTACAGGCTTGGGGAGGAGTGGCTGCAGAGCTGCCAGTCAGAGAGGGACCTGGGGATGCTGATTGACAGCCGGCTGAACAGGAGCCAGCAGTGTGCCCAGGGGGCCAAGAAGGCCAATGGCATCCTGTCTTGTGTCAGCAATAGCGTGGCCAGCAGGGACAGGGAAGGGATCTGACCCCTGTACTCGGCACTGGTGAGGCCGCCCCTCGATTCCTGGGTTCAGTTTTGGGCCCCTCACTACAAAAAGGACATTGAATGACTCGAGCGTGTCCAGAGAAGGGCAACGGAGCTGGTGCAGGGTCTGGAGCACAGGTCGTACGGGGAGCGGCTGAGGGAACTGGGGGTGTTTAGTCTGGAGAAGAGGAGGCTGAGGGGAGACCTCATCGCCCTCTACAGCTCCCTGAAAGGAGGGTGCAGAGAGCTGGGGGTGAGTCTCTTTAACCAAGTAACAAGTGATAGGACAAGAGGTAATTGCCTCAAGTTGCGTCAGGGAAGGTTTAGACTGGATATTAGGAGGTATTTCTTAACATAACGGGTTGTTAGGGGTTGGAATGGGCTGCCCAGGGAGGTGGTGGAGTCCCCATCCCTGGAGGTGTTTAAGAGTCAGGCTGACATAGCGCTGAGGGATCTGGTGTAGTTGGGAACTGTCAGTGTTAGGTTAATTGTTGGACTGGATGATCTTCAAGGTCCTTTCCAACCTAGTTGATTCTGTAATTCTGGGAGGCAAAGTAAGGAGATGCTTGAGCAGTTAACTTAGAGGGAGAGACTACTGAGGTTGGTGGGTCCTTACTTCACACTTTGTTTGCTTCTACTGTATCAAGCTAATTTTTCTAAGGAGAGACCTAAGCAAAAACTGCTTGGTATTAGTGGTGAAGATCACAAAAGATCATTTATTAAGAGAAAGATGGGATTTCAATGAAGAGCTGAGCCAATCTACTACATTACTCTCCACTGCTTTTGCACTCATGTCAAAACATATTTAACATACACCTTTGTGGGTGATTTGATCTTTGTAAAACAAACCGTAATCGCAATTTGTTTTGTCCTTTCTTTGAAGTTGTGCCCACAACTCTTTAAAGATGGAAGCACATGGCCAAAGCCCAACTTCTCACTCCTTCTGGGACGGATTGTTGATATAGGCAATGTATAATGCCATATAATTGCAGCAATATATAACACCGTATAATTCAGTAAGACAGAAAGAGAAAGATTAATACCAGGAGTAAAAAAGTTAATCATGTGTTCCAAGTTAAATTTGGCCAAAATCAAATGCAGTGCAGAGAGCAAATCCTGTGAGTTTGAAACAGAACAATAGAAAATACCATATACATAAAAGATATCTCAAAGTTTAGTAGTTCGATTGCATGCTTCACATGTATTACAATTACAATATATTATAGTCAATATAAATGTCTATATTACAATTTAATAAGAAATTAGGCTAATCAGAACTTAGACTTGTAAGCAAATACCATTCCTCAAAACCAAAGGTAAGAAATTATTACACTGTGAAGGGAAATTTTTTGAGATAGGGACATAAAATGAAGAAGAAACAATATTGTAATTTCAGGCTAATCTCCTTCTGACCTGTAAAAATGGTTACCAGTTGTCTTAGGTGTATGCAGAAAACTAAAGCTTACACTAAGTTTTTCAATTTAAGACCCAAAATTCAATTTTGACCCAAATTTTTAAGCATGAAAGCTCACTATTTAAAGCTTTCTATAATCAACTCATTACTTCTGACCAATTTAATTACAAAATATTTTGTTCAGTTGTTAAAGACTCATCAGAGGTGTCCTCTTACTTAATCCTCTATATGGAGTTAGAAGTCTCTTACTGTAAATACTTTGTACTCAGTACAATTATTTTAATTTATATGCTGCTCTAGACTATAATATTACTAATGAGTAAGGAATATTTTTGAAACAGTAATTCATGAAACTTTTATAGATTTAAGTATTTTGTAAGCAGCTTTCAAAATTGGCTTTTATGACTATGTCATGCCAAATCTGTTTTCTCTCACAGGAGGTAATTGAATAATGGTGGTATTTTTGTTGACCTTTTGAAGAAGCAAGACAGCTTGGACTGTCAAAACTCCATAACACACATCAAACCATGCTTTTTAATAAGCACATTATTTTTCTTCAAGCTATACTTACTGCAATGCATCTTACTTTACTCACACTTTATTTGGTTCTGGACTCAGAAGAGCAGCTTTGTTAGTGGGATTACATCAGGGAATTCAGTCAAGTCATTGCAGGCATGGAGTCTGACCTACTGAATAACAATAGCTGTTTTCTATTTACTTTTCTCAAAGTCTCTTTGGGACCCTTTGAAAAGGTGAAGGAGCTTGATCCTAGAGCAACTAAAGGGCCTCTTTCCTAACAACTGCTAAAGCACATTTCTCTCTATTTCAGGTAGCTTGGTCTTAAGGACTGAGAAAACTGAGAACAACAAAACCTGCTACTCTTTTGGACTACATTTTAGCATCTTCACTGTAGTCAATGTGGACTGTGGGAAAAAGCATCTTACCGTCACTGTTGATGCAGACAACAACAGGAACCTGTGTACCAGGGCCACATGGCTTCTCATTGTCAGGAATGCACTCCTCCAGCCCCACGATTCTCCAGTCATAGCAGGAGGGCTCTTCACATGGGATGGCTTCCACAAGGTGAGGGCAGTTTCCTGTTCCTCCTGTAGGCTCATTGGTGATGCGCCGTTTCCTTAGTTTAAAGCCTGAAATGTCCATGAAAATACAAAGGGCAGAATAATTCAATACTAAAATGGAAAGTGAAGAGATTTTTACCTATCTACACCTGAGTGAACAGCTAAAAGATACCACAGACACTCTGTGCAAGACTGTATTTAAATAACTGGGTAGAACAACTCATTGAAGAAAGAAGAGAGGTAAAACTTAACAAGAATATCAAAAGTTTTGAGCTTATTCAATAAACTTTGGCTTAATAAAGTCAATAAACTTAAACCCCTGTTCATCTCAGTCATACATACTCCAGTGGGGAGACAGGAGTAATTTCCTGAGCATCACTCTTGCCAGATCCATCTCATCTAAGAAATCTTGACTAGATTGCTGGGTTGCAATTTCTCAAATATGTTGTATGTTTTCTTTTCAGGTATCTTCTAATAGGGATGGATTATCAAGTGAAATCAGTTTATAAACACTCCCCCCCCCCCAAAAAAAAAAAAAAAAAAGACTAAATTGCCAGAAAAAGTATGGAAATAAACCTGTCCTATGAACAAATTTTCAGTAATTAACATCACAATATGCCCTTGCAAGTATTTACAAATTTCCTTAAGAATACCTAAGCTCATTTTGGGTCAGAGAAACTGATGGGCCTTTACAGAGTGTGTCATCTGCCAGGTCAGTGTCAGTCTCCAAGAGCAACCCTCTCTCCCACTTTCAGGATGGCATGTTGAAAAAGCCAGCCTAAATCTATAGTCAGAACAACCTAACCAAACTGAATGCATTAAGGAAATAGTTTCTCATGTCATAATTTTCTATAGTTTCTGATATGTCTGATAATACTATTTTAACTTTGGAAAGGTTTGTTTCACATCTCTTCACAGTCTCTTTTGTTTTATCTCAATATTCAAGCAGGTTAGTAACACAGATTTTTTTATAAAATATTACATATAACTCTTTCATCTCTACTAGTGCACAAACTAAACAGGACACAGTTTTCCATCACATATGTGCAAGAATTGTTTCTCTGTTTGAAGATGTGCCTCAATTTAATTATACAAAAAAAAAACCCCAACACTTAAAAAATATATTACCACATATCTTTAACTGTTTTTTTCTAAATTGAAGAGGTCAGCCAAATTATGTCCAAATGTTTTACTAAGCCTGCCACAAAAAGTTGATATAATGTTAAAAAAAAAAGAACTCCAGAGTTTACTAAAACAAAGGAGGCAAATGATCCACAGTAAAGGCCTATTCCTGAAATATGTAGAGAGACTTGCTGCTAGAACTGGAAGTGCCTGTATAACATTTACATCATATTCTCAGAACTGTCAATGCAATTATGAAATAAAATATAGGAATTTCCAGAGAAGACGAAAACATTGGCGGTTGAGAAAAGATCCCTGTGATCATGTGTGCAGGAGTGAAGACTTGCATAAAATACATCCTGATACGTTTCCATTAGACAGATGTCCAAATCAGTCTCACAAACCTAAACATTATCCCTGAAAATGCAGCAAACCTTTCAGTGATGGAACAGCAACAGAAATAACAGACTTCTTGACAGCTGTACTCAGAGGAGACCTGATCCAATAGGCTTACACACTGAAATGCCTTTTCATCTTGAATTGATCAAGGTTGGGTCATTGCTGCCCAGACTGAAGTGTAGCTACCAGTGTACCAGGAAGAAGCAGCTAAGCTAACGTGGTAATTACAGTTGCTCCTTCAAGTGGACGTATGTGGCTGCCCTTCCTTCTAAGTGTTTTCAATCAAGGAACCAAGTCTGTATTCTCAACTTTTGTCAGATAATCACATCGTAGCAATGACTAGGCCAGCTTTTCTCATTTACAGCCAGAATCCTGCAGACTTCTTACATGACGTCCTTGTCACTGCCCTCTTGCATTCTTATTTTGATGTCAAGTTACTACAACATGTTCTGCATAGGAATAAATGGTAAAATGTGAAACTTGAAAATAGCACACATATCATCAGTAAAAGTGTCACTTACCAACAGTGAATGCTCTCAGCTCTTCGCCTGAGCATACTTTACGGGCTACTGGTAAATTCTTAAGCTATTACTGAACTGTAAATCTTGGAGTGACTTGGACACTGCACACCTCAAAGGCTGCTTCTGTTCACCTTTCAAGACAGTGCCAGAATTGTGATTTGAACACATATACAAACTGCATCCCTTCCACAGATTGAGAGGAAGGTTTGAAACTGGAATTGACCTGTAATAACCCAAATTGACCTGGAGAGCCTTGTAAACAGTTCATATTTTTTCCAGCTTTGGAAACCAGTAATGTTAAATATAGTCCTAATTCAATGACCTTTTTTTAATGCTCAGAGACACTGGATATACACTTCTTGGTACAAAATTTACTATGCTTGCATACCAAAGGTGCCTTGTGACAGGAATATGAAATAATCACCATTAAAAGGCTTCACTGAATTTTTACATACCCTTCTTGGCCTGAGGGTCATCACAGCTTTCATAGGTGCATGGTCCCCAGGCTGTCCATGGTGATGTCTCACACTCTGTAGGACAGGGGATATGGCACAGCTGAGAAGTGCTGGGAAGAGGTCCCGTACACAGCTTAGGGTCCACCGGCCTCGAGGCTGTCAAAACAAAGTCAACACATTCCTCACATGTCACCGGTCATGATGCTCAGCTCTAAGTGGACAGAACCACCTTTCGTTCAGAAAGGCTGCTGTCTCATCATTTTAATCTGATGAAGTGAAGGGAAAATGCTTGTCTTGAAAAAATGAAACAGAAGTCAGTTTACTCTCTGCATGAACAGAGCCAAATCCAATTACATGGAGTCAAAAGGACTGTAGATACTGCAGCAAACTCTCAGACCTAGTCTTTTCATTTAATGGATAGATTATGTTACTACAACAGTTACTCACATTGTGCTCTGTATAAATCAGTGTCCTGCTGACTTACTGAGTATGTCTTCACTTAAGAAACTGAACAAAAAGCTATATAAATCCCTTTGCTCCTATATGATACTATGACTTCAAAAGCCTGGTTAATTAGTATTTAGAAGATTATTTTTAAGCTATAACCTGAAACACAGATAAAATGATGACAAAATTTTGTTTTTTCTTTAAAGACCTTCAGATGCACACTCAGCAATAAGATTTGTGCAGTAGCAGCTTTAGTTCAAGAAAGGCTTTTATATACATGTGTTGCATATTATATATATATATAAAATAATTAAAACTCTGCACAATTGATTTTTTCATTAAAGTATTATTAAACTATAAGGACATATGTGAGGGCAGATTCTTCTGTTCTTTAACGATCAGTAAGCCCTGGAACAGGGCCAGAACAAAACCATCCCATTCCTTCCATACTTTACCTTTGAATTCCCAGGTTACACAAAGAATAGAACAACACTATAAGGTGCCAGAGTAAGGCATAGATCTTTAAAGCAAAATGTCCTATTTCATTACAAGCAAGATTTTAATTCTCTTTCATAATATAGGACTTGACAAAATATTAAACAGAGAATCTGCAAGAAAGCAAAGTGGTCTGCCATATTCGTTCACTTTGGTTGATTGAAGAAACATGCAATTCCTTAACTTAAACCACTCTTATTCTACCCCTTCAGTGTTTTTTTCACAGGAAAGTTACCTCAATTTTCTGCTACCACTACAAATAATCTCTTCTGATGGAAAGAGCTCAATGATGAAACATATTCTAAAATAAGTTCAGATCATGACAAAATAGCTTTCTGAAAGATGAGATCAATAACCACAGATATAATATTAAAGTTAACATCAGGTTATTAAAGTATGGTTTCATTTGTAGATGTATGTGTGTTTCAATTCAGACTTTCTAAGTAGGTGATCTTTCCAGTTACAGAAAAAGTATTCAATATTCACTGTTTTAAGGGGAAAGGGAATGAATAATTATCACCCCATTCTGGTTTCCTACGTTGTGTCCTTTGGCACAGTTTTACACTGTGTTGCTGTACATAATGAAGGCACGAAGATAGCAGATAGTCATTCAACATTACTGCCTCCAGCTCACTAATCTCTTAACACAAAATAATACAAGAACAAATATTCCAACATTTGCATAACACTATGTTGGAATTAAATTTTATGACAGAACATTGAATTTTACAGTAAGTTTGACATACACACCTAAAGTGCATGATAATCAACATAATATGCATATCTTGTGTAGAACGTGAATAAATAAACATAACTTGATGGTAATTGAATTTGTATTAAATAGTTTCTAATAAAAGAAGAAAACCAGTAAGTAATTGCTAACTGTACTTTTTTAACCCTGATTTCATTGGGGAATTGCCCAAGTGAGACAGTTGAAATTAAGGGTCAATTACACCCCTGAGACACAGCCTTGCTTCAGGGAACAGAAAAAGTGTTCTGAGGAATGCAGTGCTGCATCTCCAGCCTGCATCAGGGTAAAGCACTTACCATCACACTACTTCATGTGATGTTACTCGGAAAAATAACAAAGATCTTTCATTAGGAAGTTTTAAATAGCAGATTTTCCTACCACAGTTGTTCCATATCTCAAACAGACTTTTAACACTCTGCCAACAGAAGGTGCTACTGTGCTATTGTTGCATTCCATTTGGCTTCAAGCTAAATATGTGATGATCCTGAAATTCTAAAATATGAGGAATTGTGACTGTGTTTGGCTTTAAAGAGGCTGACTTAAGTAACAGGAACACTATTTCAATTTTTTTGGAGGCATCTGTTCAGCAAGAATTCTAGGTCTTGTCCGCAAACATTGTTAAATAAACTTATCATGAAAACACCTACTGAAAATATCTGCCTTTTCACCACTCATTAGAGTGTAGGAGAAGAAAGAAGTGTTTTGGGGACAAGTAAGTGGTATCAATAAAACTTCTCAATATGCCAAAATGTTTTTGAAACACTGTTCTTGGAACATAAGTGATGTACAAATGTCTGCTACCAGATCTGTTATATATTGCTTTTAAAACAAAAGAATTCAACAGTAGGACAGACAAGTTATATTCCAGATTATTAAAAAATATTTTCCTCATTGAACAATCAGGTTGTATTTCACCCAAGGTTACTCAGAATTCTTTCTTCGAGATGACGGTAATATTAAAAAAACCCACTTAGTCTCACCTTGGTATCTTAAGAACATCTTGCTCCCATTAATTTAAATTTAATTCTTTCAGCATCAAAAAAAGTATAAATGAGCTCAGCTTTTGCTGCTTATTGTTTAGCAAAGACACTTTGAGAGATGATCATGCTAGATGCAGGAACTTACAGTTTAAGACCTTCTCTTATCTCTGTCATTTCATACTCTCTTGTGGCATCAATAAAGATTGTTCTTTATTCCTTGTCAGTGATGCTGAGTGCTGATTAGACTGTGTGCAGTACTACAAGATCTGTGTGGAATTTGAACAAATTTTGGGCCAAAATTGGAAAGAAAAGTGAATGCATTTTGATAATCTCTCTTTCTCCTTCAATCTAACTAAAAAATGAATCTCAGGTTTGAGGTAGTGACCTAAAAACTAAAATGAGATTCAGTCATCATGTCCTCAAATCATCCACTATATTAGGAAATTTTTGCTGAATATGTTTTATACCCTTGTGAAACACCTCCGCAAATGACTTCATTTTTAAAAGAACTGAAAAGAAAAAACACTGTTCTGTTCTTAACCATTTGCTACATTTATTGAGGTCTCAACCTCTTCATTTTCTTGAGAATCCCTCAACAGGCTAGTGCCCAGTAACAACCAGGCTAGCAAAGAGAGTGAATTTGTATGTGGCCTCATCAGCATAAGCAGACACAACTTCATATTCCTCTTTCCGATCATTTGTCATACTGGTTTCACAGCAAACAATGGAAGGAAACTTTTCTAACTAAAGTGCTGTCACTCAAAAAAAGCAAGAAAAAAACAAGTCCAAAATACATTATGACCAACAATGAAAGAAAGCATATTCTACCCTCACCTTCTACAGTGTTGTCAGCAAAAGACAGCAGATAATTCAGGACCTGATCCTCTAAGCAACTGCACAACTCCATACATGTAAGTGGTTCCTCTGTGTTTAACAGGGCAACAAGTATGTGCTTGCAGATAATAAATTTATGTCCATAAAGGAACTTTTCTCCCATCCTCAATCTACATCAAGGGTTTTAAAGCTACTTGGAAGAAGATGACACAAATCTACCTCATAGGCTTACTGTGAGAGAAACTTCATGACTAAACCAGTTAAATATATGAATAGACATGAAACAATTTAAGTCAGTAGCAAGTAAATTACAGAATGACAGTGGCCTCCAGGAATCTTGGTTGTCAGCTGTCTAATTACTACACTAAGTACTCCCTCTTCTTCCTCAAGTCTAAATTTATGAATTCTGATAGGAGATAATACAGACCTGAATGCCATGAGGAATTCTGGTTCAGCTAGTATTAAAAGTTCAAATTCTTACTGGAGCCCTAACTCAGTGTTTCAAATCTGTTGGAGAATGGCTTGCAGAACAAGGCCATGGGTCTCTGCAGGAGCTGATCGCAGCCATCTGAGGTAAACAAAGGAAAAAACCCAGGGCACAGTTATGCTAACAAAGGACTGTTATGTTAACAAAGAGAGAAACTGAGGTACACAATGGCCTTGAGTCTGATGGTAAACAACCTTGGGAAAGTAATCAAGTCAGAGGAAGGAGGATGTTGTGACATACCTGAGATGCCACAAAGGGCTGGGATATTATAATGTAGCCTTTTACATGTATCCAATAGATCTGTGAGTAGTATGCATGATTACTGTAGAGTGCTTATATAAGGTGTGATTTCTTTCAATAAAGTTGAAGCTTGCTCTATCATTCACATTGAATCAACTGCTTGCTACCTCCGCCCGCCGCAACAAATCTACAAAAGGGACTGGAAATAGCAGCTGTGATGAATGCAATGAAGCAATTCCCAGAGCTCAGAATTAAGAGGAAAACCAGTCACTTGCTAAAACAGTCCAGGAATGGAGCACGGAACTGTCATAGCATCCTAGCTGTCTCATGAGCTTCCTTAGTTTGAGTTTACGTCTGTCACTTTCAAATCGATCTGAAATTTCCTGAGAATGCACAAATCTGTTAAGCTATTTCAGAGCTATATAAACACATTAATTATACTCATATAGACAATATAGATCTCCCGAAAGGGACATTGCCTCCTTTTCTCACTTTTGATTGAAAGTTCAGGTCAGAGGCCTTAATTTACCTACCTGTTATTTCAAAAGTGATTGATAGCAGAGGTGCAGCACTAGCCTTCGACTTGCTCTGTGACTGACTTTCTGAAATAACAAGGAAACACCACCTTGAGCATATGAGAACAGAGGTCTTCAAAGGAGCCTCACCAAAACAACATTCACAACAGCAAACTACACTGAAATGAAGGTGTCTTCCTACAGCTAAAACAAGTAGGTGTCCCCCCCAGATTTTTCCCATCCTCAAATTACTCATAGTTTTCAAACGGTATTGTTTTCAGAGGCGCCAATTTGCTTATTCCTAGGAGGGCCTGGAGAGCAGCTCTTGCCCACACTGCATCCAAGATGGGAGGGGAGAGAGAGGGAAGATGAGTGGAGAAGCAGCTCTTCTGAAAATCTGTCCCCTCATATGGAAACACCGCAAAGCTCCTTTTTAAACCTAAGACCCACTTCACCCCTAGTTGGAGCTCTTGAAAGATTGTTCTCATGTTTATGCATCCAGAGACTAGTTACATTTTAATCAGCTTTCCAGAGCCTGCAGAGATTACCTCCTGATGGGCTCCATGTATTCCTGTCACAGTCTGATAAGGGCAGATTTCACACCCGCCTAAGACAGCGAGACTTCACAGCCTGCCAAAATCCTAATCATCATTCTGAACAGTAAGCTGCCACTGATTTTATTGTTACCTCTCCTTAGCTGGGAGGTTTTACTCCTTTATTCTAAGGCAGGGGCATCTAAACTTTGTTCAGCAGAGGCGATTTACTAAAAGCCCTTGGGCAGAAGCTGATTTGCATTAAATGAAGAGGCTTGAAAGCTGCTTCTTTAATAAATACAGATGTGGGGCCCACAGAGCACACAAGTCACACCCTATTGATATGAGAAGTCATGCTGAAATGGATGTTGGCATTAATATTCCCCACAAACTCTACAGCAAGTTTGAGAGTACTTTTAATCCACAGCAGAAACCTCACCAGCCTGCAGTTTAGTGAGCTCTGGTCTAAATATTGTTTTACAATATATACATGACTTGTATAATGATGTTTTTCTGAAGTATGTGGCTGTATTTCTTTCTTAATATTGTAATAATAATGTGTGTTTCTATGAAACAGCTAAAGAGGAGGATAAAATTTAATTAACAAGCTAAATGCATTTAGTTTAATCCACTAATTTCTAAATCTATAGCGCTGCATTAGTAAGCAGAAGGAGACGTAACATAAAATACACAAGTGCTATTCTTAAGTACATATATTTCCAAATGAATTAAAGATTTTGTCCCCTAAGCTATTCTCTTTTTTCTTAAGAAGCTGTATACACTGTAACAGTGACAAGGAATAATCTCTTCTCTTTCAGTTAACGAAACAAACACATTAAATTATATGGGCTTGAAGTCCTGAAAGAGACTTAAGAATTTGATCAAATCAAGAGAAAAAAAAAAAAAATCAATTCCATGAGAATGAAATCTAGTCACATTTTTACATATTTCTATATTGAACTTACATGCCAGAATTGACATATTTCATCTGCACATCAAACCACACATGTTCATCACCCAGATGAGGGACACACAGGAAATTTACAGTAGAAGAAGGAACCAAATCTAGGATTTCTGACCCACTTTCTCATGCTCTTTCTTATTGAGAGACATCCTTCACATAAGACAAAATTTTTCAGTAGATGTTAAGAAACAGTAATTTATAGCTAGGAACCAATATTTGCAATTTATTACATCTCTGTTACTGCAATTAAATATTTTTATCTGATCTAGAAAACAACAGTAACCCGCAAGGTAAGAAGGCACTCATGAGAGAAGACAATGGCTGTCAGTGAGCTCTGGAATGCTGAAGTGCTCTGATTTCATACTAATGCAACTGCAAGTGAATCAAATTTACCTTCTTTTTCCTTGAGGGTATTTAAATAGGAGAGGAGATTTTCATTAGCTTGCACACAGTACATTTCCCGGGTTTGAATGCCACCTCCGCACAACGCTGTCTGATTTCCTCGCCTCTTGTCCTGCTGGCTAAGGAGAGGATCTACACGGCATTCTGTCCACTCTGTGGTCCGCCAACCATACCTGGAGCAAATTTGGTTAATTGAATCTTTATAAATCATTAAGCCATTTTACACAGCATTAAGTTATACAAGCTGAAACACCTTAATAGCTTTATTCATTTCCTAGAAGTCCTGAGCCCCACAATTTCTTGTACACAGAGATATGTTGTCTGATATTTTATGTGAGTAGAAACTTTTCCTCTATTATTTATCTCATTACATTTTAGGAAGATCTTTTCTGTTCAATTCCTAAAACATACTGCACATATAAATATTTCATTGGAGGGAAGAAAAACTTGATATAAAGACATAAAGTCTATAGTCAGATAAACTAACTTTCAAGACTGTGACTCTCAGCATTTGTTTAGAGCTAGACAATTTATATGAACCAAAGCCAAAATATCAAAGAAATGTGCACGATGAGAAACATAAGAACCAGAAAAGGAGAGGGAAAACTACAACAACCCAATCCCCCAAAACCAACCCAAAAGCCTCTTGTTCATCTTTGATGAGACAGAAGTTTCCCCTGAATATCAAGGTAAAACCGTAATTGTACTTTTTTATTATTTCTTCAGAAAAACCTTTCAGTAAGTTCCTTTTTCACTGTCAAGAGGAAGATGGCTCTGCAGTACTGAAGCATCCCTGCTGGGTATTGATGAATGATGAGAAGCTGTGAGCTTTCTAATCAGTGAATGCACAGGAAAGAAGATCTGTGACTGCCAGTTAAAACCCTAATCAGGATTACGAACCACAAGAAATGCCACAGAATTCTCTACCCAACAAGTATTTTAAGGCTAAATCAGTGAACTGCTTCCTAATGTGGCTGGAGATGGGGAAATATGACATTTCAACTCTTAAATGAAAAATATGTACCACAGTCAAAGATGCTTAACATCAAATGACATTTCCCCAGATCCTCTTCTCAGTCTGATAAAGCACAGTTGGGACTTTAATATTCATTTTGATTAATTGATAAGGATTACAGCAATCTCCTGAATTGTGAAGTGCTTGCTGTCATTTCTCCTGAAATTTAAACAGGGTTAATTTATTTTCTGTCACTGTTAGCCTCTCCCACTTTCCATTTGGGGCCCAGTCCTGCCTTTGTTTTGCTGAATGAGTCTTGCTAAAAAAGTCTGGTTGCTAAACAGATGTTTATCACCTTTTTTCTATGTTCAGCATTTTGTCTGCAAACAGACAAGTACCTCAGAAAACAATGATTCTGGTAGAAATGTTATGTAGGGCAAAGATCATTGACAAATGAATGCAATTAATTTATTATGGTCTTGACTGAGCCCGCATATGCACAAATAGTCTCTTTTAAAAGTTAACACTAATGAAAAAATATGTATTTGTTATTTTTCCAGTAATTAGAGAAGGAAGTGAATTCACTATAATAGCAGCTATTTGCAGATTTCAGGCTTTTAAGAGCACTGAACAAGCAAAGGATTAAAAAAAATATCAACCCATTATTTCTTTAATAATGATTTTGTTGATATTCCATCACCAGCCCTGTATGCTTAACTGAAATTTTTCATTTTAGTATAGGGACAACTGAAATGAACTGACTTACGTAATGCACGGTGCCACACCATCGCCTTGAGAAACACACTGCTCTGCTTCTTCTAATTGAGGGCATTCACTTTCACTGCCAATAGGGAGCTGTTTAATGGTCCGTGATCTTGTACGATTCCCTTTAGGGGTTGTCATGTCAAAACAGGTTTTGGAGCAGGGGGTCCATTCTGACCACTCTGACACTTGGCACTCCTTCGTCATCACACAGGACTGGAATGTAATGGGCAGCTTGTCTTGTTTGCAGAAGCTGTAATAAGAGAGCATTACAATTTTCAGCACACATATTCACAGACAGTCATGATTTCCTACAGAAAGTGATGTCCATTGCAACATGGAAAGCCAGTAAACATTTGTAAAGCTGTTAAGTTCCAGCTCACATGTATTCGATCCCAAAAAGTCATGCTAAGGGGCTTTTGGTTAAAGTGACTCAAACCATCTGGTTTTGCTATATGAGATTTGCTATATTTAGAAATGACCAGTACTGCCATATTTGTGATCAAAATTGAACTATAAATCTTCATAGATATACAGAAGTACAAAAGAGGAAATACAACAATTTTTCACCACTTATCTTTTATTTTTAGGTATACTTGATTATTTTTCTTGGAACAAAAAGGAAGTGAAGGATCAATAACAGAGATGGCTGTATAGTGTTTTTGAAGAGAAACAAGCCTTCAATGTAATCTTCTCCTCATTTCCAGACTACAAATTTTTTAAAAATGCAATGTCAAATATATTGAATACTTGGTCACTAATAATTTGCTTTGTTAACAGCTGGTACATTGCCACAGTGATGCCTCATGGTCTAAGAGGGGAATGATCTCTCTGTTACAATAGACCCTTCCTAGCTACAGTGAATCCATAGCCTTAATTCCATGTTCCTCATGAAGACTGTAATTTAATTTCCATTCTCCATCTGATTGCTTCAGTCACATATTGCATAGGTTGTCAGCAAGATTTTATCCCTCTAAATGCCTCTGCATTTTTAAACATATTCTATATTCTAACTAGAAACTAACATTTCTACCTTAAAGCTTGATTCACAATAGGAAAATTAGCAATAGAGAAGCTACACTACAATTAAAGTGATCATAACTTTAACTCCTTAATTACAATTACAACATAGATATATTTATCATGCCTCTTTTGGAATAAAATTCTGGCTTCTGAAGTAGTTAAACAGGCAAGAAAAAGATTTATTAGCACTGCAGATGGCACAATGAAATGCTCTGTTCAGAACCAAACCTATAAACAAAACAAAAAGGCTCACTGTTTTCCTTTTAATAGAATACAAAATAAAATCAAAATAATGACTATTTACAATAATTCTGTTGCTCTACAAAATTTTGCCCTACCCATATATCCAATACTGTGTTGAACTGTTACCAACAAGATTTTGCAGTACTAGAACTAGGGATACTTGATGCGGCTAATAGGAGATTTAAAAACACAATAAATGAAAGTACTTCTACAGACAAGAGGCAGAGCAATTCTACATCTTGCTAACAGAAGATCCTGGTTGTGGAGACAGGTTCAGAAAAAGATTGAACAAATTTGTGGACAATAGGCCTATATATAGATATTAAAATGACTAGGCAGTGGTATGCTAGTCACCATCCCTGATATATTGACTTTGGATACTGAAGAAACACAAATGGAATGGACTGCAAAACGCAGACAGGCCTCACATACTTGTTCTTTAAATATCATCTCCCTTTGCCACTGCTGGGTTTGAGAGTCCATAGGGGATTACTCAGGAGGGGATTTCTTACGTTCTTATTACATGAAAGGAGGAAGGGGGAAACCTAACACATGATAGAAAACATTTATTCTGCTTAAGGACAGAAACTACACCCAGTTTGGCGTGAAAGACACTCAAAGCTTTTGAGGAAATTATTCTTTGATAATCAACTGTTTTCACCTTCATGTAGCCCCATCTGGCATAAGACTACAAGTACTGTCAAATTCAATATAGCAGTTTCCGTACCTTTGACAAAACATATAGACTCATTTATCCCACAAAGACACATTTTAATGACTAGAGAAAAGATCTATTCCTTATGGATTCTAACACGGGCCATATTTGCAAATCCTTCTGGAGAACAGATAACATACCATCACCTCCCAAGTTCCTTGCCAATGTGACTCCTTTGAGAGCAGAAAAAAACAATCGATTCCTTAATATAGTGACTGGGGCTGAGTTTAACTATAGACATGTATTGCCAGGGAACACAAACAAAATTGCCACCACAAAGGGGCTTTGGTGCCAGGTGAAGAGATCAATTAATAGTGAGTAATAATCCATGGTCTTTGCGCTCGCTTCAACACCTATTTGGGAGAAGTGTTACATGAGAAAGACAAGTTGCTTTACTAATTAATTAATTAATTAAGCTTTCTTCACTGACGATACCTTCAATCTGCATGTATCCCCTAACTGTCATGAACTCTAAAGGTATCCCCTGGCTGTAACTGGCTGCAATTCCTACGCAGCTTCACGCAGAGACTGTGGAGAAAAGGGGCTACAGCTGTGGCCCCCTGTGAGAAGCTTCTCGAAGCTCCCCTGGCTCCAAGCCAGACCTACTTTTGCACCAAGACCCAGTCAGTTAGCTGCACCTCTGCGATAACGTATTTAAGAAGGGGAACCTGGGAGGAGGAGTTGTGAGAACACCTGTGTGAACACTGAGGTCAGTGGAAGGAAGGAGGAGAAGAGGGGAGGTGTGCCAGAGCAGAGACCCCCCTGTACCCTGTGGTGGAACAGCAGGGCTGCCTCCCTGCCACCCAGGAGGGTCTACGGTTGAGCGGATACAGAATTGAGGCCTGTGGGGGGCCCCACACTGACCCAGGTGGCTGCACCCGAAGAAGGCTGTGAGCCCACGGGAAGAAGCAACCCCCACTGCTGTATGGTGCGGGGAGGACTGCAACATGCAGGGGTGACCCACGCCAGAGCAGCTTGGGAAATGCTGCAGCACGTAGGAGGGACTCATGTCAGAGACAGTTCATGGAGAACTGTCTCTGTGAGAGGGGACTGTGCTGAAGCAAAAGAATGCTTCTTCCAGAGGGGAAGAAGCAGCAGGACTGACCACACCCCCCATTCCCTGCCTCCTTGCACCACCTGGGGTGAGGACGTAGAGATACTGGGAGCAAAGCTGAGCCCCGGGAAGAAAGGAGGGGTGGGGGAAGGTGTTTTCAAGATGTGGTAATGCTTATCATGGTCTTACTCCATGTGTTGTTGTTAGTGGCTGTATTAAATTTATGTTCTTTTTTCTTCCCCTAATGAGTCTGCCTTTTGCCCATGACCATAATGTGTGACTCCTCCCTCATTGTCCTTATCTTTATTCTTGAGACTTTTTCTTCATTTTCTCCTTCCCAGTGCTGGGTGGGATGGGGGGAGTGAGTGGCTGTGGGGTACTCAGCTTCCCTCTGAGCTCAAACCACACCACCTTCCCTGATAAGGGAAACCTCCACTGCAACACAAAGCATTCGATTTTTTTTAGGATGATCAATACATAAGAGAAAACAGATATTGAGCTGCAGTTGAGCTCAAAGCTAATGTACTTATCAGTTTTCAAAAAATAACATTCTGAGCTAGTTAGATTCAAAAGGAATTTTTATCAGATTTCCTGAACAAAGTGGGAAAAGTTGCCAAAATTAAACCACTGTAATAATTAGAAAATGTCTTCCTATAGCCATAATTAAAAAAAACACTTCAATAGAAATTTGTCAAGCAACTCCACTTAAGAATTAAGGCCAGTCCTGCAAACTACTGTTATTTATCAATTTTTAAAGGATCTAGTTGCTTCCTGAAAGATTACTATAGGTTCCAGACACTTTTCAGATTCCAAGAGCTATTATATCATTCACAAAGAATTCAACATAGGCATTACTGCAACTTCAGATAACAAATTTTCATTACACAGATCCTTAATCTGTAATTGCTATATAGGCGAAAAGCTGTCCTGAAATTTCTCACTTTTTAGTGCCCCTGTATTCTTGAATTCCATGATGCTGAAGTCCCTCTGTGGATCATGATGAAAATGTTTTTAAAAATCTAGACCTAAACTTGTTCTCAAGACTCAACTGAAGAGTTATTTGGTGAGTGGCATAGATTCAGCAGGCTATTGCCTTCCACTTCATGCTCATTTTATTTTTTATTAAAAGCTGTTGTTGATACATCTTATATAATTAGAATGGTCATTTTATCTTGTTTGTTATTATTTCCATATGCAAGTACAAAGAGGACCCAATCAGAATTGTACCTTGTTACTAACCCCACTGTTTATTATGATCCTTGATAGAAGTAAAGCAAGAGAGTTAAAGCATGCTTCACTTCAAATATTTATTTATAAAGTTAATCAATCTTAAGTGAAATATAAAACAATTTAAGTTCTTGTAACCAGAACATAAATATTGCTAGGGAGACAAACAAGAGGCAAAGTGAGTTTTCCATTTATTTTCTTTCTTGCTTATTAAAACCATGCACCACTTGCAGTATTATGTAAATACTGGCAACTGATATTCTTGTGTGTCATCAGCAAACAATCTATTTACTGTTATGCATACTGTCATATTATTTTTGTGAGAGGGCAGAGACAGTTACAATTAGCAAAAGAAGTGTCAGACAAGCAAATTAGATGCTGTTTCTTCTTTTAACACTTGGTTTTCTTTGAAGAAATTAGAGAAACTGTGAGAGCTAATTGCAAATGGCCATTATCAAGAGTTTTCTTTCTCATACCTTTCAGTGTAGATGACTATATATGGACATTTATAGGCATTCAAAATTAAACATTAAAACTGTATCGCATAAAAATGCTAACTCTGAAAGATACATCTGCCATTTAAAAGGTTCAGCATAGGTAATGGATTAGCTGAGAAGGTTGGTTACATTGCCTTTAAATGCCTGCTTCAAGAAACTGCAGAGATTGATTCTTAATTGAAACCTGGGACTGTCTTTGTTACACAAAATAGTGTATTCTGGGTTTGGTACCTAATGTTACAGATTTGATCTCCGCAAATAATTTAAAGCAAAGCTTAATTTCATATAAATAGTTCTGCACTTTCTGATGGATTTATACATCTGATTTAGTTACTCAAAGTTGAATTAATCTTCTCACAGGAGAAAAAGCAAATGGACAGGTGGACAGATCAGAAGATAAAAAGAGACAGTTAACATTCATTTCACGATACCACTCAAAACACTAGAAGTTCTGCATCAAACGTCTCTATGTACTTTCAGTTGACATCTAAGCA